TCTTATTAGATTTACGTATTAATAGTACTTACCTTCTTAATTGTGTCGCAAATCGTTTTCGAATTTTGGCGTAAATTAGCACTAGTACGTAACCTATTAATAACAACCGGTAAGATTGTGACGCTCCGCTCCACACTGATACCTTCGTACGATCGTTAGAACTACCGAGCGTGTGACCTACCCCGTCTTTTTAATTGCACTCGAAATATTTAATCAAATCTTTATTCGTGACGACTTCAATTAAATTGTTCGCTTCGTAAACCTCGTTCGTATCGCTCGTAATTATCGTCAATAGTTCGTCGCATGAAATCGTTAACATCTTATTCACGTATTTTTCTGCTTAATTATCTACTTATTTCTCACTCTTATTTCTCTTCTTAATTAGTGATCTTAGGATTTATTGTAAATAGTCAGATATTTTAAGTAACAGCTTGGCAGTTACAATATTTATATTTTTCCGGTTTTTTTCTTATTGTAAATGTGTATTAATTAAAAACTGGTGGCGCCCTGGCGACGTCGCTAAACAAAACAGTGTGCTCTATTCTTTGCGAACCTCTAGCGACCTGACACTTTGCACCCGCAGGAACTCACCCCTTCTCCACGAGCAGGCCGGCAGCGAGCTGTGATTTTGGCTCGTAACATCGCATAGAAGGTGTGTACCCCGCAAGAGGATATGACCATACATTGTTGTTGACTAGATTCAACTTTAAATCCTTACTTACTCGGAGGAATATTTTAGTCATAACATTTTTGTTCAAATTACTATCTAACAATATAGATTGTTCATTTCTTTTATCCAAACTTGCTTATGTAGTTCCACGTAATAGATCTCGTTAACAAGTAACTGTCTATGCATCATATTGCAGAACTAATATCATGCGTACGTCTCCAATTGTGCTTATGACTGAGCTATTTATTATTATTATTATTATTATTAAGACCCACCACTGACCCGGAAATGACCGGCATTCAGGCAAGACTTCTGTCATTACGGGTACTAAGACCAAGTAATGATATGCATTGATTAGATTAACAAAACAACTTTCGAGATTCTAGAATTACAGCATACAAATTAGTCTGCTATTATTCTCTAATCTCACCCCATCCCATTATTATTAATATTATTATTAATTATATTATAATTTATTTCGTAGTTTATGTACATTTTTAATGAAGCAATACTAAAAACTGATTTGAGAAAATACCACATATTGTGAAATTTAAATTATTTTCAATCCCACTTCGAACTCATTAAGAAGTAATTAAAAATTGTAGTAATCTGATTCAACATTTATAAATTTGAATTTGTGTTTCGTCTACAGATGCGCCTGGTCTGGTTCCAGTTGAACCACGACTTGAACGTGACTTGAACTTTATTTTTCGTTCCCGCGTTTGGTTTGTGCACTAATGTGCAGTGTGCATTGTGTAACATGGTGCAGTATATGCGAAATGCAAATCTGCGAGATCTGCAAGTTTCCCTGTTTCCCGCTAACTGCATTCAGTCTCCAGTGCATATGAGTACTCAGCTGCTGTATTTATTGTTTTTGGTGGTTCAAAAAGCATTTTATGTAAGTACATGGTGTTTGTTTTCTTGTGATTACTTGTACAACTTTAATAATAGGTATAATGACTACGACAAATTCAAAATACTGTAGTAAATACCGTTTTGTCAAGAAAACAGTAGTAAATTTCCTCGCTTCTGCATGCAATGCAAACGGTAGAAATGTGGATAGTAATGTTGATAATATACGGGATAATTTAGTGCATCAAGGTATAAATAATCATGACAACATCAACAACATTGAAAGCCAAGAAAGAACAGTTTTTAATGAAGTAACCCGGCCGTGTTCATCTTCGTCCATAATGACTAATGATAATGAAATCAACGACACAAATCGTCGTCGAATTCTTGTCAGTTTTATTAAGTCGTGGTCAATAGAAACGAATATAAATTTACGACAACTATCCATGTTATTAAAAGGATTGCATAATATTTTTCCAGAATTAACTCTACCGATTGATTGATGCTCGAACAATATTGCATGGCAAAGCCCAAACAGAAATAATTAATATGAAAAGCAGTTGTGGTACAGAAGGTGAATTTGTGTATTTTGGGGTTCAGCCAACTTTGAAATTATACATGCAAGACGTTTTCTTGCAGATGAATATTTTAAAATTAAACTTTATTAAATTGTCATTTAATGTGGATGGATTACCAATTTTTAAAAGTACTAACAAGCAGTTTTGGCCAATTTTAGGTCGTATTCATTTAAATAATTTAGTTATCGATCCTTTCGTTATCGCGTTATTTTGTGGTGACAGTAAACATTTTTCAGTAGAAAATTATTTAGATCAATTTATTGCGGAGATGAACCATTTATTATTAACTGGTTTTGTTTTTGATAATATAATACTTCCTGTCAAAATTTTATGCATAACTTGTGACGCTCCTGCTCGCTTTTTTCTTAAATGTGTAAAAAATCACAATGGATTCTATGGTTGTGAAAGGTGTGTTCAGAAAAGATGTTCTGTAGAAAAATGCCGTGTTTTTTTAAAAATTTCTAGTGAATTACGTACTCATGATAGTTTTGCAAACAGGGTTAATCCTGAACATTCATTTAAATGGTGTTCAGAGTCCATTTCTTCAGTTGAAAAGTTTAGATATAATTAAACAATTTCCCTTGGATTACATGCACTTATCCTGCTTAGGTGTGATGCGGAAAATGCTTCTATTTTGGGCAGTTGGTTGTCGATCCCAAAAAGTTAGGTTGCCTATTCATCTTCGAATTCAGTTGTCAAATAGAATTCTAAGATATGCAAAATGTGTACCTATGGAATTTAATCGCAAACCTCGTCCACTCTCAGAATTGAATAGATTCAAAGCTACAGAATTTAGTTTTTTTTTAATGTATCTAGGACCTGTCGTTCTTAAAAACATTTTACCTTTACGTCACTACGAACATTTCTTACTGTTCCATTGTGCTTTATGAATTTTATTAAACAGTCATTTTAAAAACTCTTCTTGGATTTCAACGGCTAAAAAACTTCTAGTCCATTTTGTTAAAATGTTTAAAGTTTTGTATGGATCTGGATCTTGCGTGTATAATGTACACAATTTAATTTACCTAGCTGACGATGTTATTAATCTTAAAATCTTAAAGTTTAAACGAACTTAGCTGTTTTCCGTTTGAAAATTTTTTAGGCAAATTAAAATACATAATTCGAAGCCCTCATAGACCTTGTGCCCAAATTTGTAAACGACTTTCAGAAAAAAATATTGTAAAATATACGCCATTGATGAGTCATTTGATTAAAATATCTGAAACAGATATAAAATTTTCCAATTTCACCATTAAATTAAATGATTTTAGAGATTGTTACGTATTGTTGAAAGAAAAGAAAATTTTAAAAGTACGAGGTATTATAAATAACCAGTCTGTTACTGGTAACCTTTCAACAGAGTTGGGAAATTTTTATGAGTATCCCTTACCTTCAAAACATGTGGGTGTTTTTAAATTTAGGAGGTTTTCTTCTGAATCCGTGAAAGTTAATTTGGATGATGTAATTGGCAAATGTTTTGTCGTTCATACAGAACATTATTTTGTTGGATTTCAACTTTTACACTTAATGAATTGATAAATATGTTTATAATTAAGACTTGGTTTAAGAAAAATTAAATGAGCTTCTAATTTATAATTAAATAATGCACAAAGATTATGAAAAGTAGTGTTATAAAAGGAGCGACAAATTTCACCATTATGCTTCATTAATTGTTGTTATTACTAGCATTTTAAAGTACTTTTTTTTGTTTTATAAATAATTTCTTACATTGTTATTTCTTGTCGTTTGTCTTTTATGTTAAACCTGGCATTTATCGATATTAATGGCTGTTTTATTTTTAATCGATTACATTTTCTTTTTTGGTAAATACCGGTTTAGAATGAACGATTTTATAACTTATTCATTATGATTGTTTAAGACACAAAATTGAAAGAATTAGTTCATTGAAACCATCCCACTAAATGGCATATGAGTTACCTGATAACGATCAAAATTCCAACCTAAAGTACCACATGATTGCAGTAGTGTGTTTCTTTATCAGGAAGTTTGTCTTGACAAAACGTTCGTATCAGCATGAAAGTTTAATTTAAAAAAATATATACATAGAACAACATGTGGGACATCATTGTGTGGAACGAAGAAAATGCCATTGACTTCGTACCGTCCTCTTGGGCAAATGAAAATAAAACTCTTTATAAGTATCCGCAGTGCACTGAGACTAAAATGAGACAATTAATTTATGAATGCAAAAATATAACGGAGAATTTTTCTTGGTTTAAAGCTACCCTAAAAAAGGGTAATATTCAAAAACTTGAAATTGCCAAAAAACTTTGCGAAAAGGGAAAATTTTCTTCCAATATTGATACATCGAGCGATAGCGATATAGAAACAGGTGGTGAGAAAGAAAAGAGGAAAAAAAACCGACGAGACGATTAATTGAAGAAACAGAAGCAATGACCTCAGACACGGAAAGACATTCACGAGATAACAAGGATTCTAACCAGTCGTCCAGTGAGGAAGAAAATGAAGTTCCAATCAAATATAAAAAAGTCAAATTTAGAATACCTGATTCTCCTCCACTCTTATCTCATAAAACTAACCGCGAAGATTATGCAAGTACGCTTTTTTTCTTTTTCTTTTTTCTTTTTGTAACACTCAATCCATTTAATTACAAAATGTATTAAGAATTAAAAGAACATAAATAACATTTGTAGATCGTGAAGATAGCATAAAAAGGAAAACATCTTTTACAGATAATTTCCCTATTGTGAAGAGGAAACAAATGTCTGCCATTCAAGATTACCGGAACATACAACGGCTGGAGGAACCATCAAACAATTTTTCTAATAAAAAAACAAGACATACAGGTAGTTTAGAGAATTTTATGACAAGTAAACTCTTTACAATATGATTTTACTTTTTTTTAGATATGGGAGACACCAGTAGGCACGAAAGCGATGACACTGATAAGGAATCAGGTATTAAACTTTGGAAAATTTGATTTTTTTATCTCACTGCTTTCTTGCAGAGCAAATACATCTCAGTTCAGCTAGTACACTAACAATGTCAAGTGATTCAGCGACCAGTTTCTCAACACGTAAGTGTATTTAAGAGATGTTAGACTTACAAATAATTAAATCATTTGACTATTTGTAGATTTTATGAACACAGTTTTAAAAAACCAAGCTGCAATGAACTATGTTATTAAAACACTTTTAGAGTCATTCAAAAATATTTCTGAATATAAGCATGTTAATGTGGAGGAAGAATCGATATTTCTAAATAAGTTGCCGTGCTCAACCATAAATGACTTAGAAGAAATAGAATTAGAAATTGCCAGAGATAAGAATAAATTCGATGAATTGGTAAGCATTTTTGAATATTATTAACTCCTACTAATTATTGACTAATTTCAGATTGCCGTACTTTATTTGACAGGAAGAGAACAAGTACAAAAAACGGTATACGCAATTTTAAAGAAATTGTTGATGAACCAAGTTACTGTAAAGTTTTCAGGGCAGGGAAGAAAAAGTAAACTGCCTTTTAATGAGCTCACAGTTAATAAGGCTGTAATATGTATGTAAAGTTGTGTGATTAATTAATTACGAGCTTTATAAGTTGGGTTAATTGCAGGCGCCACACGAAAACGCCACAAAAATGCCACGGATACAGAAATAAAAAAAGCGGTAGGACTCTATCTGGCTCAAGCAAAGGCAAGAATGAATTTGCACCGGATAAACGATGAGGTATGATTTTTTATGTTAATTAATTAAATCGATTTTCAACGAATTGGTTATAGGACAAATAATTATTATTAAATAAATATTGACGTATTATAACAATGAAATCTAGTAGTAGAACGTTTTTAATTTCATTGAGTATGTATTTTATTTGATTATAAGTTAAGAGTGTATTTTGTTGTTTAATAAATTTTATGTTTCGTACAATTTTTTTTTGATACCCCTTTTCACATGAGAAGAAGATTTATTAAATATTCTGAACTAAATAAGTATTAAACATTAAAAATAAGTATATATGCAATATTTGAAAATAAATATATATACAATATTTGAAAGTAAATATATATACAATATTTGAAAGTAAATATATATTCAATATTTAAAAACAATATTTATTTAAAAAAAAAATCTGTCGTTACCCATATTATGTAAATGTTACAAATTCAATATTTAATAAATATAAAATGTTACTGGGGAAATCTCGACGCCTCCCCATTATAATAGAGAACGGACCGGCAAAATCTACTCCACAGTGAGAGAAGACCTTCGCTTGAGTTACTCGTGGTTTAGGTAGTTCGCCCATGAAAGGAGTTAATGATTTCGGATTTACGTGAAAACATCTATTGCATTGCCCTAGGGTATGTTCAATAGCTCGCCGACTAAACAAAACCCAAAATTCGCGTAGCAACAAATATTGTAATGTGCGCAGTCCGACATGTAGGGGAGACCCTGGTAAAATGATGTCTCTAAGTGTATCTCGGAAATTATTAAGAAAAAAAAACGTCATTGTAATACATCATTAAACTGTGACTTAGCTACATTTTTGTAAAAAAAATTGCCATAAATTCTCAACCATTTTTAATTTATAATTATTTTTATATAAGACTGCAAAAGGATCGTTTTACCCAATGGCTCGAGGTAAAATGATACCCCACCATAATAAATTAATATTTTAAATAGAATCACGATGTGAAGGTATTATGAAGCTAATATACAGAAAAACGTTTAATCTATTTATAAAAAAAAAACTCAAACATGATCATTTGTTCCATAAAATAAAGAATAAACAATTAGTTAAGGAACTCTGGACATTATAGTAGGTATATAAAACTAGCAATAGAACATATTATATAAATTACAATTCAAGACTTCTCTTTACGTTCCCAATCTTTATTTGTGATAATAACGAAAATCGTTGTTTGTAGAGGTCCTGACTAGGTGAGCCGTCACATCCCCATTTTGAAATAAGCTTCAAATTTTTTTTGCTTGGGAGGGTCTCAACATTCATGGACGTGAGGGAAAGGATCCTTGACGATGTGTGGTCCAGCATTGCCTGAAGAGGAACGTTCGCTCCCCACTCAGTTACTTCACGTTTTTCCGAATAACATTCTTTTTTGGTTTTACAAAGTTGGTAATAAGAGGGAAATATTTTGAACCCTGCATCCATAGTGGCAGTTCTCAGAATTAAGTATTTTGATTTAGACAGATTAAGGGACGTAGTTAGAGCAAGGGCATTCTCACTTGAAAATGTTCTCTCGTCCGATTTTTCACCTGCTACGCTTAATAATTTCTTCAGCTCCTCAGAATCAGCAGGAAGGGCGGGTATTTTACCAATAATTTTGGCTTTGTCATAGTGTCCTTCTCTCGAATTCATTTTTGCAGCAAAAAGCAATTCTTCTCCCGAGTAACTTGCTTTCAATTCCTCGATTCTAAGCATCTTCTGCTTATTCGAAAGATCTTCAAAGGGCTTGGGCAAATGTATGCCTTTTATAGAAGAGGGTTGCGGCTGAAGAAATTCCTCGGGGTACTCAAAAGCCTTATTAAGCCAAGCTTCATTTTTTGCACTAAAATACTCCGTCCTGTAGCCACAATCTTTCCAACTTTTTTTCAAATGCACACAAAATGTGCTAACTGAGTCCGTTAAGAGCTCAATGCCCCTCTGAGAGACATTTGCAGGTGCATTAGACAAAATTACATCCTTCAAAATTAGCGGGTTCTTTGGTTCAGTGGGACTTTTTAAGAGTACGAACAACTCACGGTTCGTTTTAATCATTGCAAGTAGGTACTCGTAGGAACGATAATAGACCTGTTCATGGCAAAGAACGACAGTGAACTCGATGTTTAAACCTTCATTGGTATCCTCGTTTCTAATACCTAACTAGTCTCTGACGCTCGAAACCACTGTTTCAAACATGAAGAACAGACGAAATGGGACTAAGTGGGCTCTGATTTTTTCGTATTTCGTTCAATACAGACCTATGGTGAGAACTGTGAATCCCGTTTTTTGGAGGACTCTGGAGCTTTTTTCTAGTAATTGTTTTTGGAATAAAGCAAGATGCCAGCTATTACGTGATCCAATAATTTTTTTTTACATTTTTTCTTACACATAATTTACTCGAACACCGAAAGACATAATCCACAAAACAAAGAAAGCTGTACATTTTGTACCAACATGATACTTAAAACAGCCAATTTTGACGTAGTTTTGGCTACCGAGTTTGTTCAATGGAAAAACTATGTATTTGACACTTAAACATTGTTTCTATACTCATCTCCAACCAAGTTAAATGCATTGCAAGGCCATAGGGCATGCTTCCAATTTTGACCCATGTCGCGGCTTTTACGTTATTCGTCCCACTGTGGGACGGTGGGAACGAAAGTCTCGTCAACGTTAAATATTTTGTGGTGAAAAACTGTGTTTCTGCAAAAGCGTCTTCAGTATTGCAAAAAACATAGAAACCACTTGTTTATTAAATCCTCGGGGTCGGGCAGCTGAAGTTGCTTCCGGGGTTCTTAGAGAAATTTCTGGGTGTCTTTTTTGAAACCCGGCAAGCCACTCTCATCCAGCAATCTGTTTTATGCTGGAAAAATGATTAGGAATATTATTCCCCTCAGCAAGCTGGAAAGCCAGACGTCGTAGATCAACAGTGGTAAAACCATACATCCTGCTGTCAAAGTCGAGAATGTGACGTATCAGCTCGTTTTCTTATTCAACAATAAAAGTTATTGACTTGCTGCCTAAAAATTTGACGTTGCCTTTAGTAATCAAAGATTGAAACTGGTAACTGGGGGGTAAAATAACTAGGGTTGTGCTTTTGATCGGTCAAATTCTTTACTGGTCAATTGACCAAACTTCAGTCAAATACCTAGAAAGCTAAGTGTAGCCAATTTGACGAGTTGTATCGCACAATCTTGGATTATTCATTTGTAAATATAATATTCTCAACATAGCTATTGACAATTTGTAAATTTATGTTCCGAAGAAGTTCGAATACAGAAAAATATGCTGTTATATGTATATTAAAGATATATATATATATATATATATTGATAAAATAATACAAGATTTTTTGATCTATAAATAATACTTTGGTAACATAAAGGAACTATAAAAAATATAAAATGAACAATAAACTTGTCAACCTGAAACGAAATTATTCTATTTCATTATTCTAAGTATATTGTATATTATAAATACATACCTCTAACCACACTTTCATACTTGCACTTTTAAGTATGAGTATCCTCTTCTTTGTCTGTCTCGCTATCCATATCCATACTTTTATTACTGTCGCTGTAGGTGTCTTGTTCTTCTGATTCAGAAGAAATATCAGATTCAGTTTCTTGTTCTTGTTCCCTACTGAAATCCATACTTGTTTGTGAGTTACTCTTTTCGAGTAATTTAAGGTTGTATTTAATGTACACTAATTTTCCTGACCGATTCGTGAGTAAACGGTTTCGTAACTTACTGTGTACCATTCGCCACGTAGACCAGTTTCTCTCACAGGAAGCTGCAGAAGCTGGCATTTGTAATAATTTGACGGCTACATCATGCAAGGCAGAAGTGCTAAACCAACTCGTCCACCAATCCGCGGGTGTGATATTTGATGAAGTTTTATAAGCCGACGTGACAACTTTGGTAGCAGACCAAATCAGCGGTTTGTTAAAAATGTTACTTTTGGTCCTGAAATTCGTGATCTCTCCAATAATTTGACTGTTGTCTTGAGCAACAGTCAAATTAAGTATTAGCGTGATGGCACCCTCTAATTCATCGGAGTTTAAATTATCGCCTGTGTATCGCGGATCTAATAAATATGCTGCATTATGTGTAGAAGTGCAAGTCATTTCTAGGCGTTTTGAAAACTTTAAGATAGCCGTTTTTCCTTCTGCCAACAAAAATGAACTTTCGGATACATGGGAATGAAATGAATCCCTTAACGTGATTAACTTATGTCTCACGTCTGATAATGTTGCACTTGTAGCCTCGAAATAAGTCATCAGCCGTGTAATTGGAGACAAAAGATCTATAAATTTTAAATTGCGATCCCAAAAAACTCCATCATTCAAAATCGCATTTTGCACTTTTTTTGGAACCATAGATTCAACTGCAATATTCACAGCTGCTTCCCGCAATTACTGTTTATTTATCTGAATGATTTTCATGCATTCAACGATGCTTCCCCATCGCGTTTGAACTGGCAGCTTTAATGACTGTTTTGAATTTGCGCTTTCTTGTTTTTCGTGAAGCACCGCATTAGGAACTTCTTTAAGTTTGAAAAATTTTACTATTTCTTTGCACATGGAAATATGATCACCAAGAGTTTTTATGTGTTCAAAATCTTTCAAACGGCAAATTTAATGTGTGACATGCACATCCGTAAGTTTGGAGAGTTGGAAATTCCATTTTCAGTTGTGCCCAAGCCGCTTGCATATTTGCAGCGTTATCAGTGACCAAAGCGTTAATTTTAGAAGATCCAATTTCTTGCATAATTTTCGCAATCTCAGCAGCTATAAATTGGCCTGTGTGCCTCTGAGCTTTTGGTACCAAAAAATCATAAAAGAAGTCGCCATTTTTTGTATGCACCATATAGTTAATTATCCCTTCGTTACGGATATTTGACCATCCGTCAGTCATCAAAGTTATGTTATTTGCCAGCTGCACTTGTTCTTTCACTCCTTGTTTGATTTTATTG